GCCCATTTGTTTGACAAAAAATGGGGCGATTTTTGCAAAAAACGGGCCCATTTTTGCAAAAGACGGGCCCATTTTTGCAAAAGACGGGCCCATTTTTGCAAAAGACGGGCTGTTTTTGGGAGGTCTGCAGAGTGCAAAAGCTTTTTTTTAAAAAAAATTGCCTCTTCAAAATCTTGGTGCGTTTTATACTCCGAAAAATAAACATCAAATGATAAGGATTTCCCGAACAGGCTGACAAAGGAGCACAAACGCTTTACCTTTGCGCCGGCAGCAATTGCTTGCTCCTCCTTCGTGATATAATCTGTCCATGTGTTCCACTGTCCACTGGCTTGTTTGTGGAAATAAAAGTCATACACAGACCCTGATTGCAAAAGAGGGATTTAAAAAAAAAAGGTCTTTGAGAAGCTTGTCAAAAGTGACATTGAGCATTATCACGTAGGGATACTCCTGACTCCAAACCGAAAATAATGCCAAAATCTCACCCAGCTTTGAAGGATCTCTCTGGGTCCAAATCTAAAGTGGTGGAGAAAGGTGGGAAGAGAACGAGGAGGAGAGGGGCCAGCAAAGCTGGAGCCACAAGTTGATTTAAAAACTTTAAATCCCGTTTTTAAAATCTATTAATATAATTACTAGAGCCACAGTGGATCGCACCTGGAATTTTGCTCTTCCAGGAGGAAAAGGGGGTCGACCTATTCTCCAAAGATATGGGGCCGCAATGGCAAACCTATGGCACCGCGGGCCACAGGTGGCAAACAGAGCCATATTTGATGGCACGTCAGCGGTCAGCTCTGGCGCGCATGCGTGCGCCAGCCAGCTGGTCTTCCGAAGGTCCTGGAGAGGCTGTTTTCATCCTCCCCAAGTTCAGGAAAGCCTCCAGAGCCTGGGGAGGGGTCATGCATGCATGCACAGGTGGGTGGGGAGGATTGAATTGGTGTGGGCGCACGTGTGCACGTGATAGCGTGGATGTGCACAATTTTGGCATGCCATAAGAAAAAGGCTCCCCATCACTGGTATGAGGTCTCCTGCTTGAGCAGTGGGTTGGACTAGAACAGCAGTCACCAACTGGTGCTCCGTGGACCACTGGTGGTTCGCGAGAAAATGTTGGTGGTCCGCAGAAAAATCTTTGTATTTTTTTTATATTGTACTAAATTAGGGATCCTCAAACTACGGCCCCTGGGCCGGATACGGCCCATTGAAGCAATTACTCCCACTCACTGATGGGGTGGGGTCCTTCAGGCACTTAGCTTGGCTGCCTATTTAGCTCCAGCTCTTTCCTCCCTCCCTCCCTCCCTCCCTGGGAGTCCAGGCACTTCAGTGAGCGGTGCATAAAACTTCAGCCGGGCTCCTCGAAAGAGTTTGCAGGGGGCTGATCTAGTGCCCGGGCTGGCTACAAGACGAACGTTACTACTTGGCCATATTTGAGATTCCTCGCTGTAATGGAGAGCAAACCTAGGGTTGACCCCAGATGCTTCTCTCCGCTAAAAGGCAGCCAAGCTAAGTGCCTGAAGGTCCCCATCCCATCACTACTTCATATTAGGGGTCTACGGGATTTGAAATTATGAATTTAGTGGTCCCTGAGGTTCGAAGGTTTGGTGACCCCTGGACTAGAAGACCTCCAAAGTCCCTTCCAAATTCTGTTATTCTGAACTGCAATCCTTCCCACTCTGAAAGGTTGATGTCAACATTTTGTTGACCTCATCAACATTGATGATATTGATATTTTTTTAAAAATCCCTTTTTTAAAATAATGGGTTTCCTAGACAGACCTCTTTCTGGAAAGAGATTGGTTTTGGTCAGCTTCACGCTTTTGGGGCGAGGGTTCTCATCGTCCATTCCCATCAAAAGGTTTCGGTAAAAATGGTCGAATTTCTTCCGTCCTTCGGCATTTACCGTGCTCCCGATGGTCCACACCAGAGAGAAGAGGAAGAGGCCTTGCAGCCACAAGGTTATCTGCTGGCTGGACATGGCCTCTCCTGGTTCCTCCTCATCGGAACTCCTGATTTCATCTACGCAAAAGAAGACAAGATGAAGCCCAAAACAGCAAAGTGGGAGACAAGGAATGCCACAGGCTTACAGCATTACGCAGATCCCCATTCCTGGCATGGGAAATTCTGGGAGTTGAAGCCGACGTATCTTAAAAGTGACCAAGGTTGAAAAACTGCCTTAGCATTTTAGGGCCCCAAAAGAGACAGTGAGTTCTAGTCCAGCTTTAGGCATGAAAGCCAACTGGGTGATTTGGGGCCAATCACTAGGAGCCAGTGAGTTCTAGTCCAGCTTTAGGCATGAAAGCCAACTGGGTCCATCTCTCTCAGCCCAACCCACCTCCCAGGGTCACTGTTATGGGGAAAATAGGAAGAGGAAAGTGTGTTGAATATCTTTGCTGTTTTGAGTTATTTGTAAAAAATAATGGCAGGATATGAATAAATAAATAGTAGATGAAATAATTAAAAATAAAATAAATAATAAGATAAAATCAAAAATAAATAAAATAATAAAATAATAAAATAATAAAATAATAAAATAATAAAA